TTTGACAAATTTATCCTTTGCACATTCACTGTAGACAAATATATTTTTTAATATTGATTTTTTCCACATTTTCTTAAAAACGGATTTGGGAAAATCCTGGAGAGCAGGAGTAGATTGAGGCTGGTCGGGGTATAAATATCTGCGAGGCGCGAGGCCAACTTTACCTTTTTTCCTCATAACCTACTGTGAGCTTAGCGCGTCAATACAATTGATATCATAATAAAGAATCTATGGACTAATGGTGTTCAGATACTGACTCAGTCCACACCGTAAATACACTCACAAACTGGCAGGCAGGCAATGATCGTCTGAAAAGCTTTTTTTTCAAAATTACCCGCGCAAAAATAATGTAAAATGAAGAGAATAGTACAAACATGGAAAATGTTTTGTGATCATTGACTGGTCATCCCGAAACACTGACAATCGTAATAATTTATTCTGTTCCCCCATCGTCATAATGTCTAATACGAAAATTGGTAAACATCACTAAAAGACAGCGAGCAGAAATTAATTAGCATTTCAACTTTCCGAAACATTGGTGGCTTACTTGGGCATAATTATTCAATTTTCGGTTGACAGTGGAGATGCAAAAGAAAATGTAAATCTTACGCGAATTAAGAAAAGTATGCACCTCCATCCATCTTCAAATGTTCATGACAACTACCATTATTATCGTTCAAGATAATCGATGAAAAAAATAAAATCCCGTAAACTAAAAAAAAATATGTATTTTGAGTGTTTCAATGCATAAGGTTTAGCGCTAAAAAAGGAATAAGATACTTTAAGGAAGTACGAAGTTGTGTAACTACTGTCATGATGTGAAAATTAATTACACAATTTTTTCGTAACATTAAATATTTCACGTATATATTGGCTGTTGATTCGGGGATTTTAAGATATAAAGAAATTATATTAATTTGCATTCCATCATTATCTACTTTTTGAAGATAGTTGTGCGCAATGCATACCAGGGAAACTACGTTTGACGTAATGCAACTTTTATTCTAGACTGGAGGAGCATAATGGAAGGATTTTGAACTGGAAACCCAGTTCAAAATCCTCCCAAAATCAGTCAACTGTAGTCAGAATTGACTACAGTCGACGGCACGTATTCAAGCCGAGCATTGCAGAATCGCGGTATCGGGTAGTAACTTACAAGTTTTAATTTCAACCCCCGTACTTCCAAATTTCATAATTCATGTTTAATTTCAAACAGACACCATGTTGAAAACCCCTTTCTTCCTTTATGAATTTCATCAAGAAAATTGTGCATGCTAGAATTTCCCGTTGCAAGTCGTGATGGTCATTTTTGGTATTAATTTTTAAATTTATATATCTTTTTTCTTGTGGTATTTTCTTTTAAATTCTTAGGTCAATTGTGATTCAAGCAATCAAGTATTTTAAGTCAAGGAATTTTTACGGTCTTGATGGCGATACGGTCTTCCTAGATGTCGTTTGTTCGGTCCAAATTTTATTTTTACAAAAATATAAAAATTAATCTCAAATAAGCCAGGAGTTCCAATGGCCTGCTACCAACATTCGTCAGATGACACGGCACCATTTCCGTGCCTGGGAAAATGGACCCATTAAATCGATCCAAATCTTGTCCGACTTGAGTCACCTCAGCTTCCTTGGAATCGGTAATCACAAAAACACATTTTAGTCGTCTCAAGGTAACGGAATAATACGTACGTGCCAAATTAAAGAACAGTCTACTTTACAGCGCGTTTTTTATCGATTAGATTCGCATTTACTCCGAAGACGATGAAAATGACGCGGCAGCTGATAGTGGTCAATCGCACGTGAGGAAATGAGAAATTCAATGTACGGCCGTCGAGAATACCTGCTCGATGAACCACGAGCTTGTGAACGCAATGTAATCCTAGCATCAGGAGTGATGAGCTGATCCTATAATGCTGGCCGAACGCCAGACATTCGTCGCCCCCTTTACGCCACAAGATATTTTTAGCTGGGCCGGGAACGTTGATATTCCCTATGCCTAAATATTTAAGCCCGTTAGCGGGTTTGCAAGCTTCGTGGTCCAAATACAACGCATTGAAGTAACCAACATAGTCTGAAAAACGATGTATTCAACTCTCCATATTATCAATACCACGAGAAGAATATTATACATTAGGAGGGATGCAAAGCTCATTAGAGATGAACACAAATCTCGAAACGCAATTCGTAAATAAATATAAAGCCTTCAACTTCAATTAGTTCACAATAACCATGACTCATTGTCCGAGATTAGTAATCCGAACGATCAAATAAGCAAAAAAAAAACAAAAAAGGTTACGAAATGGGCAAATTTTTGACGGTCGCCGAGTCCGGCGTTAGAGCGGCGGGAGTTAGGGCAGAAATAGACCTATACAGAGTAAGGCTTGTGCAGCAATAGGCCTACACAGGGTAAGGCTTGTGCAGCAATAGGCCAATACAGAGTAAGGCTTGTGCAGCAATAGGCCTATACAGGGTAAGGCTTGTGCAGCAATAGGCCTACACAGGGTAAGGCTTGTGCAGCAATAAGCCTATACAAAGTAAGGCTTGGGCAGTAATAGGCCTATACAGGGTAAGGCTTGTGCAGCAATAAGCCTGTACATAGTAAGGCTTGGGCAGCAATAGGCCAATAAGGGTAAGCAAAGAAACACAGCCTTAAAACTATATCTGTCTCTTATACACATCTAGAAGATGTGTATAAGAGACAGCAGTAGAGATGCGCAATAGACAGTAGAGATATGCGTAAACTTTACGCGAAACAAAAAAGTATATGCACATCAATTTTCTGTAAATATTTATGACAACTATCATTGATACAACTACTACCAGATGTTCATGAAAAGCTCATTCAAGATGCACAATGATAAAACACCCTAAACTAAAAAATATATATTTTGAGTATTTTAAGCTATAAGGTTTAACGCTAAAAATGGCTAACATAATTCTACGAAGTACGAAGTTGTGTACCACTCTCATGATTTGAAAATTAATTGCACAATTTTTTCGTAATACTAAATATTTCATGAAAATATTTGCTGTTGACTCGGGGATTTTAAGATACAAAGAAATTTTCTTAATTTACATTCTGGCATCTCTACTTTTTAAAGAAAGTTGTGCACAATGCACCCCAATGAAACTACGTATGACGTCCCGCAACTTCTATTCTAGAATGGCGGAGCACAATGGGAGGATTTTGAACTGGAAACCCAGTTAAGAATTGCCTACAGTCGACTGTACGCGTTCAACTCGAGCATAGCAGAATCACGGTATCTTGTAGTACCACAGCAGAATCACGGTATCTTGTAGTACCATAGCAGAATCACGGTATCTTGTAGTACCACAGCAGAATCACGGTATCTTGTAGTACCACAGCAGAATCACGGTATCGGGAAGTGACTTGCAAGTTTTTAATTTCAACCCTCGTGCTTCCAAATTGAAAAATTTCACAATTCGTGTATAATTTTCAACGGACACCCAGTTTGAAAAATACTATTCTTCTACATTATAAGTTTTAACAAGAAAATTGTGCATGCTAGCATTTCCCGTGGCACGCCTTAATTATCAAATTTGGTATTATGTCTGAATTAATATATTTGTTATTATGGTATTTTATTTTAAATTCTTATAATTCCTGGCTTAAAGGGCATGTCTAATGAGAAAGATTGAAGTTTATGAAGCTTCCCAGTCTCCGTTATCGTCGCCTGCGTGGTGACCTCATTGAAGTATACTCATGGCTTATACAAGGTCCCGGAAGGATTACTAGAATTTGAAACAAGAACCAACATCAGGGGCCACAGCTATAAACTAAAAAAACTGCGTTGTAACACATCCATGCGACAACATTTCTTCTCGCTTCGAGTCACCGACATGTGGAACAGCCTCCCTGATAGCATCGTTGAAGCTCCGAGTATGAACATCTTCAAAAACAGACTAGACGAAGCTATGCAGGAGCATATGTTCAGTCTTAAAATGCCTAGCAAATTACGGAGCAGGCAATAAGTCCAGCAGCTATCTCAATCAATCGTCAGTTATGGAAAGATCGGNCAGCAATAGGCCTATACAGGGTAAGGCTTGTGCAGCAATAGGCCTATACAGGGTAAGGCTTGGCCGCTTGGGCAGCAATAGGCCAATAAGGGTAAGCAAAGAAACACAGCCTTAAAACTTGTACTAGCTCGTCAAAGAACATAAGACAATACGTCCTTCATAAACGATTAGAAGCGGTGCTACTTAACTTATCATAAAAATCTATCAGCACGAGAAACAAAACAACTGAGCTCGTATTAAATGGCTGAGCATGTAATTTAAACAAGTATGTGTTGGATTTAAGAAGTGAATAAAATGATGTGTGCTCGACGACAAGAACGCTTGTACCATAAATGACACCACATCTTGAATATGTATCCCGATCATTTCCTGCGTTGGAGCATCAATTTTGAATGTGGAATATAAGGAAAGAAATAAATGCATATAACCTAATTGGCTGAACAACAATAGAAGTGGAACTGTGGCAATGATCAGAAGTGTTTTCTTCACAGTAGCGTGTCGCTTTTTTTTTGTGACAGTTGCTGCTAACATAGCACAAGGGCTCCATAAATCAACGAACAGTTGGAGATTAGCGAGAACATTTGTTACCCTGCACACAACAATTTCTCATTAATTATATATACATTGAAGCATGGTTGTGTTGTGTAGTGCTGATGTATGGCCATGAGCTTACTATTGGGTGTGTTGTGTAGTGCTGATGTATGGGCGTGAGCTTACTATTTACATGTCGATATTGGATGAATGTCACCGGCGTTTGAAGCAACACGAAGCAGCAAACTATTAACACAGATTCCATACGAGCTTCCATACGAGGGTGGCAGCATGTCGCTCAGCTGAGGGCTGATCATCTGATGAGCCATCAGGGTAAGGGTTTATCAGAGGGCAGGTCACTTGACAGGTCAGCAGAGGGCAGGTCAGCAGAGGGCAGGTCAGCAGAGGGCAGGTCACTCAGAGGGCAGGTCAGCAGAGGGCAGGTCAGCAGAGGGCAGGTCATAAGAGCAGGTCAGAGGCTCATTGCTGCTCCTGAAGGAACTCGAAGACAGAAGAGAAGTCCTTGTCGCCGTAGCCTCGCCCCACCATGATGCGGTACAGCTGCAACGCATCATAATTACACATACAAACTTGAATATCATTCTACGAGTCTATACTTCGTCAGCTCAGCGTCGCAATATGAATTCTTTAGCAATTAACATTCAGGTTTCGTTTTCCCTCCAGTATTTAGTCACTGTAAATGCGCCATAATTCAAGCTCGACTAGAGTGGTTCATCTCCAGTGATTGATCTGAGCAGCACAAATCCAATATAAATTAGGCAAAAAATAAGAATAAATTCACTGGCGCATAGAAGGCAATAGCAACCACGACAAGCACAAAGTTTAGAGTCTAAAAGCAACCAATTGGGAGCTGACATTTTATATTAAGTCGGTCAAATGTTCCAGGAGACACTGCCGGTTAAAGGAAAGATTTTGTACAAGAAGATATCTTATTTGAAACCAATGAAAAAAAACTCTAAAAATGGGGCTTAAATTTAGATAAAACCAATAGCTATGGCTTTTTGATTACGTTAAATACACTGGAATGCATAACAAATAAATATTACCTGGAGACATAGGTAAGTATTATTCGATGAAAGTGTCTTGTCCGAAGCTCAAGTTCAGGGTAACAACAGTTGCATGAAAGTGAGGACATTTACAGAGCTTGTTTATTGAAACGCGTACAAATAATGAACAGAGAATGCATTATATTCCAATTTTCAGGGAATAAATTATTCATTGTTCAATGATTCTAATAATTTTCATTGTTCAATGATTCTATCAACTTGAAAATGAATATTGATGTACATTCGAAACGGTTAAATATATAATAAATCCTTGCCGAGGCCTGTCTTTTGATCTATTAGCGTCATCTGGAGAATGTTTGATTCGCTGAAAATTGGAATATACCTCCCCTAGGTTTCCCTGGAAATAACTGTTAGAAATAAGGTTCCCCTTAGAATATTTTCACTGAGAACCTTATTTCTAACAGTTATTTACAGGGGAACCTAGGGGAACCATATTTTATTGCACGCATTTCTAATGGGAGCCACTTTTTTCTAGCAATGCATTCTCTTTTCATCATTCGTACGTGTTTCAGTAAGAAATATCTGCCATCTAATGCTAAGAGCTTATTTATATAAATAAAAGCACGTCTCTGGAGGAGAGTTGCGAGGGCGTCGTACCTGCAGGGCGAGGCTGCCCAGGGGCGCGGGGGTGGCGCTGCTCACGGCCACGTCCAGCGCCAGCCCGAGGNCTGGTAGTTGTGGGATGCAGGCACCCCAGGCACAGGGTTGCAGCAACTCACCTGGTAGTTGTGGGATGCAGGCACCCCAGGCACAGGGTTACAGCAACTCACCTGATAGTTGTTGTTGTTGTGGTTCCCCGGTCTCCCTTATACAAGAGACCCCCCTCGCGCAGCCACGACACCACCGACAGGGGGTCGCTCCAGAGCTGTAGGGTCGAGGTTATGTGGTGGTGTTGTCTGAGGTCCTACCAGAGCGGACATTCCAGGAGAATGTGGGTGATTGTGTGGGGAGCTCTCTGGCAGGATGGGCAGGTGTCTGTGTCTGCTTGGCCTATTGGCAGGATGGGCAGGTGTCTGTGTCTGCTTGGCCTATTCTGTTTGCGTATGTTTGTAGTGAGGGGTGGTGGCCGCAGCGCAGCCTGGCTAGGTGTACTCTCTCCAGTCTAGAGAGCTGTGTTTCTGTGCTGCTTATGTCAGGTGGTGGTGCCCAAGGATTTTGTTGTTGCCGGCCAGCTCCAGCGTTCTCTGTGTCATAATTGTGCCGCTGGATGTGGGAGCTTCTTCGAGTGGAGCGCCCCTTCTCACCGGGGTGTCTCTGCGCAGTGGCGGCACCCGTCGAAGAAAGCGCGCGACCTTCGACGGCCAAACTCCCCGACCTCAACCCCACCCCGGGCCTTGGCCCCGGGTACCTTGCGTCCTGGGTGGCGCCGCCGGCAGGGGATTCGTCCCTCGTTTTTTCGACAGAGGGGTTCTATGTCCCGGCCATCGAATCCCTCTTCCACTTACTCGCCGGGGACATCGAGTCCAATCCTGGACCCATCTACATCTGCCCCACCTGCACTAGACGCATCAAACGTACCGTTGGCTCCGTTCGTTGCAACTCCTGCGGCGAGTGGGTCCACCTTCGGTGCACTACACTCCCTGTCTCTTATACACATCTAGATGTGTATAAGAGACAGGTCACAGGCTGCACACAAAGCACCCCCATAGAACACCTTCATGCAGAAACAAAAATACTTCCCATAAAAGCACACCTCGACATGAGAGGAACACAATTCATAGCCGCAGCCATAAACAACACACAACATCCATGCCACTACCTACGCGACCACCCACCTACACACAGACAAATAGTGCTAACCCCACACAGATACTACACCAACATACTAGATACGGTACCCCCACTCCAAGGCAACACCAGCACAAAAAAACACTTACACACTCACCTGGTAGTTGTTGGATGCAGGCACCCCAGGCATGACCCCGGGCACGGGGTTGTACGTGTCACTGGACCAGCATCGTCCCGAGCTCGTGTTCAGGATGCTGGCTAATAATTTCGGGTCCAGGCCCAGGCTGTCAAGGCGTTAATAATCAACTTAAGCTCATTTATTGCAGTAGGCACTGAATAAAGTACAATTCAAATATATAAGGAATAAAGTTATGACATAAATAATCAACTTAAGCTCATTCATTGAAGTAGGCATTGAATGAAGTACAATTTACATATATCAAAAATAAAGTTATGGCATATATAATCAACTTGAGCTCTTTTATTGAAGTAGGCACTGAATAAAGTACAATTTATCTATATCAGAAATAAAGTTATGGCATTAAAAATAAACTTAAGCTCATTATTGCAGTAGGCATTAAATGAAGGACAATTTATTATATCAGAAACAAAACCTAAATGTTAATCAAGCATAATCACCGCATGCCAAGATTCATGGTTTCAGAAGTTCCAATCATAGAGATGGCAAGTAGCATATTATTGCATATCTTGGCAGCTTGACCCGTGCCCACGTCCCCACAGTGTACAATGTTCTTGCCCATGCATGACAATAGCTCCTTGGCTGCCGTGAACTCCTTCTCGGGGCCTCCCACCATGAACGTTAAGCTGCCAGCTTTTGAAGCATTCACTCCTGCACATAGGACAAAACCTTTAACATTTCTAAAAATTCCAGGATAACTTCAATTGCACTAAATTAGTAGGAATAAAATCTATGTCATAGATGCTAATTCAAGGCAATTTGTACTTCAATGTCATGACTTAACACCAAAATTTGTTTATAATGCTTATAATTTTACATTTTATTATACTCGTACATCCTTGTAGAAAGGAACATAAATTTGTATAGGTACTTCTATGAGCATGCCTATTTGTAATATTTTGTATATAAAAAATATACCGTAGGTATGTATTATACCTCCAGAAACAGGAGCATCCATGTACACAGCAGATTTGTTGGTGGCCAGAGCAGCAACTTTCTTGGAGACCTCAGGAGCAATGGTGCTGCTGTCAAGTAAGAGAGTGCCAGGCTGCACTGACATCAACACTCCAGTGTCAGGATCAGAGTAGCACTGCATCACTTGTTCCGAGTTACGCAGCATTGTCAGCAGCTGGTCACACTGCCATCAAAATTAAATTTTTAATCCATTATTATATGGTAAGCAAAGAGCATTTGTATGTACGTGATCTTTAATCTGTACTGAGCATTTCCACAAAGATTATGCACTATGGAATAATCTTATGCTTCCTCCAACATGAAAATTGCACTTTTAATCCATTAAGCAAAGAGCATCTGTATATACCGTACTTGAAATATAATCTGTACTGAGCATTTCCACAGAGATTATGTACTAAGCAATACTGGTAATCATCTTATGATTCCTCCAATACTCTAAGGTTTGATCAGTTAAGATTTAAATGAATAAAAAATTCCTCATCATACGTATTCATTGATTGTAAACAAGAAAAGCAAGTAGGCCTGGGGATATTACCTGAGATGCAACAACTTTGGGAGATGTTGCAGCAACAGCGCCAGCTGATACCAGTTGATCTACAGCTGCGTTGTTTATGTCATAAACCACCACACTGTGTCCCTGGGGCAGAAAGTGTTGCATTAGTGTCACACATTGCAAATTTATCCATAATATTAACAATAAATCACAACTGGTGCTCACCAGTCAGTGACCACAATATGGTAGGTACTACTGTCTGGAATAAGACATATATGTGGACTAGAGGCTGCCTAATTCCCCGCTCTCTCATATCAGAATGATCTCCGTTCATACAACACTCATCAGCAAAGTTACAAGTTGTTCTAAAGCAATATAGCTAATTTTACAGCCTAATTAAAATGCATTACTATTTTCTTATACACTGTACATCAAGAAAATACACATTGAGAACCCCTATTAATAATTAACCTACCACTCTACATAATATATATGTTGATGAATCTGAATATGAATAACTAAAAGCTGAAATGCACTAACAAAATGACCAACATATTCTATTATACAGAACATGGGTTCTGATTTGTAAGTCTCCATGTTCCATTATACAGAACATGAGTTCTGTTTTATATGTCTCCATGTTCTATTATACAAAACATGGGTTCTGATTTATATGTCTCCATGATCTAATAAAAATTTGAATTTGATTTTCTATGAATTTGAAATTCATAGAAAATGGACCAAAAAGGGGATACTTTAGAATTCTGTCTCCTCCTAGGATTTTCAAGCTACAACATCAAGTCACATATTCGATGCGTAAAGACCAGATCTATAAAAAAATAATATAATTTTTTATAGATCTAAAATAATTTCAAATCAATTTATTATAACCTACCTTTTTGATGAGGTTCTCAGCCATAGGCCCACCCATGTTGCCAAGTCCAATGAAGCCAACTTTACTGCCATGCTGGCAACTTGCTGTGTAAAATGACATTCAATATCAAATGAGGAAACAAAAGTACAAGTATATATATGATTAGAGAATATAAAAATTGTTTATTTTCATGTTCATCCAATTTTAAGAATATATTTTACAATATAAAAATTATCACTACCTATTGAAGATGCAATAGGTACTAAATTAACCAAAAGTTTGCCCAGGCTCTACCCATGGCAATCTCATGTTTTGCTGGCACAATGCAAGATCAAATTGCAGGAGTTACATCCCTTAATTAAACACTGTTCTATTTAATACAGAATCATGGAATGCAAGTAATTAGATGAAAACTGCAAATTTATGTAGTCACAAAACTAAAATGAAATACTAGCTAGCAATGATGGGCAAGCAATCTTCTGGTCTCCCCAGTATATATATCACATAAATATTAGTACTTGTATCTTGAAGCAACCTCTTTAATCAGGGCATGTATTTCACATTTTCATTATAGTTTATTATTGTCATATTGAAATAGATGAATTTACACATATACATGATAAAGTCATTCCCTCAACTGGGCCTGAAGACATTTTGTAATTACACTTCACAACTAAACAATTCCAGTTGCACATCATTGCACTACAGCTGTTTCACGTAGCACCTAAAGCTGTAGTGCAAGACATTGTTCAAACTTGCTGATTAATTTCAATGCAATTTTAGAATAATATGGCTAAGAATTATGGTATTCATGGTTTGTAAAACCCTTGTTTATTCCACCCATTACATTTTACTGATATCCATGTACAATGATGGTATCCAGGAAACTTTACTGGCCAGATCATGAGCATCAGAATCAATCATTCATTGGGCATTGGCCACATCGAGAGTAAATGCATGCATCCATGTCAATCATGCCGCATTGTTCGTGAAGAGTGAGTGTCAGAATCGATCATTGGACATCGGACCATTGGTCACATTGATCGTAAAATGCGTGCATCTGTGTCAATCATGCCGCATTGTTCGCAAAGTGAGAGCATCAATCGTAAAATGCAAGCATCCATGTCAATCATGCCGCATTGTTTGCAAAGCGTGAGGCCGTGAGCATAGGCTCATAGTGGCAAATCAGAGATTTTTTTAAAACAGGTTCATTTTTAATTTCCTCATATATACTAAAAATTTAATCCAATTTCTTATGTATGATAATGCTGGTATCCATGATACTTTACCCTGGCATACTGGTGTACATCCCAAAATAAATTTCTGGCACCCACACCAAACCAGCCCTTCCAGAGTCCAGACCATGGGCAATCAATTTTGGCATCCTTGCCATCCGTTTGCTGAATTGCTGCAAACATTGGTGTCCACCGCCCGATTAGTACTGTAAACTGGGGTAACTGACTCCCGGGATAACTTTGACCACTTTTGGTTTTTTTAACAAAAACCCCCAAAACTCAAAAACTATTTGACATAGAAAAATTTTGTCAATGGGCATTAAAGGCCTAATACTGAGGCTACATAATACAATAGAAAGATTTGAAAAGTTTGCATATC